TAATGTTATAATGACTAGTAAATACGTGTTTTTCTGCGCTGATCGCTGAGTTGTGACAGGACGCCGGCCTGCAGCTGGTGTCCAACAGGACCTCGTTCGGCACCGCAGTGCGCATACACCATGCCGCGACCGTGGAATGGTATGAAATGCATGGTTTCCAGGATTATTGAACATTATGCAGCCTATTTCAATCAATTGCCGCTCACTCGCCAGAACCCCGAGGCATTCCACAACAAACCGTGACCGGTTCGCCTCGACAACGCGAGACTCGTTCTGCGTATGGAGCACAAGAAGGAAAATAACCTGATGTTATTGTACCCCCAAACATTATTAAAAGCCTCTATCAAATGCTACATTAGTCACTTACTGCTTTGTTGTACCAAATTCTTCCGTGTAGAGGTGGCTTGGCTCAAGTGGTCAAGGCAACAATCGGTGTATGCACCGTATCGCGAGTTGCTCTTCCGCAACCTAGGTTGTGATGACTGCTGCTGCCTTCTAATAAATTTCAACAATGAGCTACTGCGAAGTCCGGCAACCTCCCATACAGGGGACGTGGATCACCTACACAGTGTTGGCTAGGCGCCACAACCTCGTTCCCCAACGGCGCATCACGTTTGAAGTTTGCTCAACTAAAAGAAGAAAGTGGGCTAATTAGCTCATATCTCACGATAGTTAGGGTACATGCGCAGGGAGCTCATGGAGAGGGGTGAGCATATAGTCTCTCGGGAGACAGCAGGCGAAGTAGTTGCAATCACATTCAAGTTTAGCGTCCCTAACCTTCTTTAATCAGTATCTTGGCATTCAAAACTCTGTTTCCCAGCCCGATCTAAATCTTTAATGGGGCATTTATGCGCCACTCGCGGGCAACTAAATTTTGAGGTTGCTGACGTAGACTTGCGCCGTTGCATCCTACTGGGAACGCAGCGGTTGCGATGTGGCAGTAGTAACACGTATCGGTGAAGGAAAGAATTGCAGTGATAAATTGTTGTTTTTGGAGAATTGCTATAGACACCTGTAAAAAGCCATTGTATCACCCTGGTTCCAGAGACTCGCGTAGTTTCCAGACTAGCCCATGCTTTTGCAACAGCTAAAAGAGAATACACTACAATCCTGTTGCCAGTTCAGCGGCGCTCACAGTTTTGCGACACGGGAAAGCAGTCTAGAAGCAGCAATATATCGCCAGGGTCAGCGACACAAGTTTCTCCCATGGTAACAGGACTACCTCGGTTGAATCGCTATAAAAGATGTACGCCCAAACCCTCTAAAGACCTGAGTTTGAGTTGAATTCGACGGACCTTCACTCTACAGCCGTCAAGAATTACTTGCGAGCTGAACCCTTCACCTCCAAGCCACGACTATCCTGATGGTGGTACCCAGCGGCTCCACCGGCAGAGCAGAGGAAGAGGCAAAAACATAACTTGTCGCTGTACACAAAAAAGTTCATCGAGCACTGTATAATCGGGCTTTTGCCACTGTTTTGCGCTAGTTAAGTGGTCCGCCATAAGTCAACTCTTCCCTGACGCTCTCCTCAGCCGCGAGTTTCTCATCTGCATCGAGTGTGCACTACGTGATCCGCGGGATTCTACACCTCAGCAGGTAGCGAAACTCCTTAAACCCAAAGCCCTAAAATAAAAGCCTCTTGGATCATCCCTCTCTTAAAGAGCTGTCGTTTCACAGCATGCTGAGGCCAACGATCGCCAATGCAAAACCGACCACACCGGG